TTTGAGTCGTTTTCCGGCCAAACCATGGCTAGTTAGCAGTTGAGAAATGTATCATTCTCTTCGTCTCGTCGAGAAGTATGATTTTCGTTTTTGAATCACTCGATTTTGTTGAGTATTGAATAAGTTATGAACGTTTAAAATTTACCCAGTTTGCGCGCGAGTTTTCCAGCTTTCCCACGGACTAGTCACATTTCAGGCTATTTTTCGGCCATCTCCAGCAACCATTGGGCTTCCAAATAGGTATAATCTTGTTCTACGCTTTCCTATCTTTATTCTGATATATTATGGGTCGAATTTGGTTAAAAAACAATTGAGTTACGAAGTTTTAAAAATTGCTCAAAGAGTTTTTAACGAAATGACCAAAATGATGGATGATAGACAATCTCAGAGACAATTTCTATTGATTTTCAATCTTAGGAATCAAAATTATGTGTTATGCAAATCTCAAAGACCATTTTGGCTAAAAGTTCAAAAGTATTCAAATTACATCGGGCCATGTAAGACTAGGCTTAAGAAAAGGGCCTAAGTGCCGAGCCTTAATCCGTCCCATGGCCTAAAAATGCAAGGCCTAGGCCCTGCCCATTTAAGATCAGGTCTAACAACTAGCCTTAAGACTGGGTTAGCCCAGCCCACAACCTAGAAAACAGAGTTGGGCTCGAGCCAGCACATCGGGCCTCAGCTCTTTTTGGAAGCCTAATTTTCACTACTCCAAGACTCCAGACGACTTGAGCTCACACTGCATTACAGATAGAGTAAATTGTAGTAATGGTCCATCAACTTTAATCAAATTGGAGTAATGGTCCCTCAACTAAAAATCCATTACTATTGGTCCCTCAACTTATCAAAATGTGTAGCTATAGTTCTTTTCATCAATTTTGTCAAAATTTTGTCAAAATAAGTTATGTTGAAATAACCATTTATATAATTAGGGTCCCTCAACTCATCAAAGTGTGTAATTATGGTTATTTTTGTCAACTACATCAAAATTTGTCAAAACAAGTTATATTGAAAGGATCATTGCTACAATTGGGTTAAAGTTAAGGGATTATTTCTCTAGTTGAATTAAAGTTGAGGGACCAATAGTAATGAATTTTTAGTTGATGGCCAATAGCTGCACGTTTTGATGAGTTGAGGGATCAATGCTAATGAAATTTTAGTTGATGGACCATTGCTCCAATTGAGTTAAAGTTAATAGACTATAGCTACCATTTACTCTTACATATAATACATTTTAACTAGATTTTACTAAACATGAGCCATAATGGTATAGGCTTTCAACGCTACGTTGCTATAACTCTTTTTAACAAATAACCGTCAGTCCATGAGATTTGAACTCATAACATCTTCCCACAAATTGCACACCCAATTATCACTTAAACCAAATAATTAATGTCAACCGGCTGCAATTATAATCAAATAATTCAGCTCCCTCAATTTCTCTGAGTTTCATTAATGGATAACATCTAGCAACTTTTTGTTCTTGATGTATAACATATATAACAACTATCTATCTGTCTATAACAAAAGTGTTCGTTTGATTAAAGTTACAATCAAGTCATTTAATTTGATACTAATTACAGGACTAACTACTAGATTAAGCTGCTAATGATTAGCCATTTTAAACACTTTCATCCAAACCATCAATGGAACTACTATCTTGATCATGCACTACTTTATTTGAAGCCGTCTCAGTCCTCCTCTTGTTTCTGCTTTTCAATTCTTGTTCACTTTCATGTACAAACGAAACGAATGACTGAAGGCGTCTTGCTTGCGAGCTCTCGCTGTCGGAATCATAACGCCTGTAGTACTGGCGAAGAACATGAAGAACAAGAGCGAGAAAGCAAGCTATGCCGCTCGGCAGAAACTCCTCATCGGAAGGCGGTCTATGGATTGCTTAGATCCCACTGCAGTGCAAGCACTTTTCATCAGCCATTTATCATGAATGTTTGAAGATCCTCCCTTCTCCGATTAGTTTCAGAACCGCAGTTGACATGTCAATTAAATAAAAAAGTTCTTTTTTTTTTTTGGCCCGGAAGCCGTGCAATGCAAAAAGTTAAAAAACAAAATTGTATTTCTGCATCATGCAAAATATTGTTAGGGTAACTTATATTTTACATTCCCAGTTTGATGTCAATTTCAATTCCTTATAACATCTTTAAAACATTTTAATTTTATACATTTACTTATCATTTTATTTCAATTTCAAATATCCGTTAGAAAATCTATTAAGTTAACCGTTAAGTGATGACGTGACAAATATGAGATCCACATTTGTGCTAACGTGAATGCCAAATTTGTGTCACGTGACAAAAGAATAATTTTTTATGCATTTAAAATATAATAATATTTACCTTATTAAAAAAATAAAAATAAAAACCAAACAAATCCAGAAACCTAGCAAACCCCCACGCCATCCATACCCATTTCCCGCGACCTCCTCCATCTCTTTCTCTTCCTCATTCTCTCATTCTAACCTTGAATTTGTTGGAATTTATTAGGTTTATTTAGGAAATTAAGTAGAGATTTGATTTGATTTTGTAGTAGGGTATTTTTGGCATTTACGCATTAGGGTTTCTTAGGTCTATTGCTCTATAAATAGAGCTTGTAATTTAGTTTGAGAGCAAGTCATTCACAATGTAGTCTCTTAGAGTTTTGTAGCCGTTCCAGCATTAGTTCAATAATATTCCTATTATTTTGTAATCTTGTTTGTTCCGCACTCTGATATTCAATTTGGTATCAGAGCGGGTTCGATCCTTATGGTTCAATCCGTTCTTGTTGGTATCAATTTGTTTTGTCGCTTTTTGTTTTTTGGTTTAGTTTGGGTCTCGTTTAGGCTTTCGCTTCCGCTTTGGTCTGTGTCCTTTGTTCTTGGTCACTCTGTTTTTGTTCGTTTTGTCCTTGGATTTCTGTTTATGTTCTTTGTCTTTGGATTTCGGTATTGACCGTCAAATCGTGGTAGTCTTGAAAAAAAAAATAGAAAGAAAAACTGAACCGTCTGCACCCACTGCGGCACCGCAACTGCACTCTGACCTCTACCCGCATCACCACATCGTTTCCTGCATTGCATCTGCACCCTCTGCAACCCGTGCGTTTTCGTTGAATTTGGCGGTGTTTCTGTTGGTGGGAAAGACCTCAGCTTGACTATGAATGTTGCTGGGGTTGTCAAACGTTGGCTTTTGATTACATTTTCGTGGTCTATGATCAAGGATACCGTGACACTTATCAATTTGACAGGTACCTGATTGCGTTTTGCACTATAGTTCCTGCACTTGTTTGCACAGAAAGGAAAAGGGGACAAAGAAGAATAAGAAAAAAAAAGGACTGCTGTTGGTGGTTCGCACAGAAGGAAAAAAAGGAAGGAAGAAGGAAGGAAAAAAAATTGTTTGGATTTTTTGTTTTGCTGTTAGTTTAAGACCCATGCGGGCAAAAGGAAGAAAAAAAATATTTGGTTGGATTTTGTTTGTTTGTTTGGCATCGACATCGACATTTGCACTGGCATTGGCACTGGTATTGAAATCTTGCACTGGCACTGACATAGAAATCTTGCACTGGCATTGGAATCTTGCACTGACATTGGCATTGAAATCTTACACTTGCACCGATGGAATTTCGTATTGAAATTGGCATCGGAAGTTAAGCATAACAAAGCTTGCATCCACATCGTATGTTGGCAAACTCATGTCGTATACCGCCATGAGTTTGACGAAGGGTGTTGGAATTTATTAGGTTTATTTAGGAAATTAATTAGAGATTTGATTTGATTTTGTAGTAGGGTATTTTTGGCATTTACGCATTAGGGTTTCTTAGGTCTATTGCTCTATAAATAGAGCTTGTAATTTAGTTTGAGAGCAAGTCATTCACAATGTAGTCTCTTAGAGTTTTGTAGCCGTTCCAGCATTCTCAGTTAGTTCAATAATATTCCTATTATTTTGTAATCTTGTTTGTTCCGCATTCTGATATTCAATTGAATTGGCGTCGATCGAACCCACAAGATGCAGCCAACAATGACATCCAAAAAGCTAGAAACGACATCGGAGGGTTTTTGCTAAGCTTTTTGGAGTTGTGGTCGCCAGAGATCTCTGAAATGGAGATCTCGCCCGGCAAGACCTGGGGGTCGATGGTGAGGGAGGTGAAGTCGCCGAGGCCGTCGACGGTGCAGCCCAAGAAGTCGAATCCCAGGCCTAGATTGGTAACAGTTGCTGGGGCGAAGACCTTGACGGAGGTGAAGACGGGTTCGAGCTTACTGATGGTGAGGATGGGTCGAGAGGGGAGGGAGAAATTGCATCGGAGGTGGATGGGGTTGTGCTTCGATGATTGTAATAGGATGAGGGTGAAGGGCTTGAATGGAGATTGGTGGCAAATTGCCATTGCTGGGCGGAGGGGGCAGCTGAGGGAGTGTAGAGGAAGATGGGTTTCTGGGTTTGTTTGGTTTTTATTTATTTATTTTAATAGGGTAAATATTATTATATTTTAAATATATAAAAAAATTATTTTTTTGCTACATGATACAAATTTGGCAACCACATTAGCATAAATGTGGATCTCATATTTGCCACGTTATCACTTAACGATTTACTTAACAAATTTTCTAACAGATGTATGAAATTGAAATATTTTAAAGATGTTGTAAGAAATTGAAATCGATCCCAAATCTAATGATAAAATGTAATTTACCCATATTGTTAATGCAGATAAACCACCTTTGCATGTGACATAGTAGAGGATGAAGCGTATAGAATCCAATGGAAGCTCCAAGGAATATACCAATAAGAGGTGTACTATCCACACAACTCTTTTTACTTCTCACACATCATTTATTAATTTCTATCCGTATATGTTTTTCAATTCATCTAATCCAAGGACCGAAAATTAAAAAGGTATGTAAGAAGTAAAAAAGAATGTGTGAATATCACATCCCTACCAATAATTCATTTCCACAAATAATTCATTTCCACAAAGGCGTACACGTGTCAGTACCCCCAACAACCCTTGCTTGCTTGCGCTACAATGTCGATCGGAAAACCTGGATTTGCCAGTCAACAAGCTACACATCATACCCACAGTTCTCTCCCTCTCTTTCCTCCTCCAACGGTTCCCCCTTCCCTACTACTATGCTATGGTCTTAGGCTCTCTGTTTTTCTTCCCACATTTGTATATCTCTCTCGAATAATTTCATTTGGGATTTTGAATCTCTGCTTTTTCGCTGAATTCTTGATCTGGGTTTTCTGTATTTCCACCTGTTTCTCCGGAACGACTCGAATAATCAAATCTTTTGAGAAAAACAGAGGCTTGGAGTTGCAGAAGGAGCTTGCTTCCTTGATCCGGTGTGTGAAATTCTGCTTCTTGGATCGAGTTCTTGATGGTTTTGGACAGCTGGGTTTTGGCTTTTGGAGGCATTGATTGCGTAAAAGTGCTTTTTCTGTGAGCAAGTGGGGGTTGTGTGACAGCTGCTTTTGGATTTGGCTGAAGTTATGGTGGTTTAGTTGAAAAGGGTTGATAGAGAGGGAGAGGGAGAGAGAGAGAGAGAGAGAGATTGATGGGTTAGGAAGGAGAGATTAATGGCTTCAGGAACTGCAGATATATCACCACAGGTGACCGGATTGGATGGTGGGTGCTTAAAAGGAGGTGGAATGCAGACCATGGAAGATCAAAACGTCGACGCTTTGGCCAATTCAAACCACATTCCTACTGGAAAGCCTCCGAGAAACCTCTCGGTTATGCGAAATTGCACTAGCTATGCATTGTTGACCGAATCAGTAAGTCGACTGAAGCCTCATTTTTCTTCTTAATCTGCATTTATTTCTGAATTGGGTATGCAAATGATTTTGCTTTATATGCAATTATGCACAATGCACATACTTTTCCTCATCAAAACCGGAGAGATCAGAGATAGATACCGTGCGCGAAAAGGGTCGATTTTGCATTGTAAATTAAGAACATGCATTTGATGGGAAGTAAATTTGAATTGCAGAAATGAATCTGGTTTTTGGTGCTTAATATTTAGAGAATGCGACGCTAGATTCAAAAGGAAAAATTTTCGACGTGTTGAATTAGTAAGGGAATGCTACTAGCAAACTTGTTCAACTGTTATCTTAATATGCCAACCCTGCAATTTAATGGGACAATGTCTGCAACACATCTGGTTTTTCCTTGACGAAACTGCGTTGCACGCCTTATTATTGATCCGTTGTAGCATGCAATCCATATTTCTGTGCATATAAAGAATTTTCTGAGGTCAATGATATAATGCTTCACCGAAACAAAATGCTTCAACTAGTATGCTTTAATGGACCTCTATTTAAAAGAAGAAGAAGAAAATTAACTAATTATTCTTCTATGCTCTCATTTTTCCTAGGATTCAGATGTTGGAAGTATGGGATTAAAGTCGCCGGCAAGTGAGACAGCCGAGTTCGTATTTGTATTCCGTTCAGGAAGCTGCTCTGAGAAAGGACCTAAACAGTACATGGAGGATGAGTATATTTGCGTAGATAATCTTAGTGATCGTATTGGTGAAATCGAAAACTTGCCTTCCCCTGGGGCATTTTATGGGGTGCGTAACTTGGTCTTGTTAATTTCTTTTTGAGTGGTCCTTTTTATGCAGGGATAACCATACTTATACAAAGGAAATTTTCCATAGTTTCTTTTTGACAAAAGCCATCTTATTAAGTGAACTCTTACTGAAATTTTGTTGTTTTCCGCAGGTCTTTGACGGACATAATGGTGTTGATGCAGCATCATTCATCAAAAGCAACATCCTTAAGTTCATCGTTGAAGACTCTCACTTTCCATCTGTCGTTAGAAAGGCAGTTAGAAGGGCTTTTGTGAAGGCTGATCATGCTTTTGCAGATGCTAGCTCTGTCGATAAGTCCTCCGGTACCACTGCCCTAACTGCCCTGATCTTAGGAAGGTGAGCAATTTTACTATTTGAATCTATGAATCTATCTGTCTATGATAATCAACATTAAGATCTGTAATTACGGTTGTTGGCACTGATTAATCATTGAAAAAGTTGAAACAATAATGATTAAATCTGCGTCTACAATGTTTACTTTATTGCGAATGCTGCTGTACTCTTTCAGGACCATGCTAATCGCTAATGCTGGGGACTGTCGAGCTGTGTTGGGGAAGCGGGGAAGGGCAATTGAGCTATCTAAAGATCACAAACCTAACTGCACCTCTGAAAGATTAAGAATTGAAAAGCTGGGTGGTGTCATCTATGATGGCTACCTCAATGGCCAACTATCCGTGGCGCGTGCTCTTGGAGACTGGCATATCAAGGGCTCGAAAGGTTCAACTTGCCCCTTGAGCTCCGAGCCAGAGCTGGAGGAAATTGTCCTAACAGAAGAAGACGAGTTCTTGATAATTGGCTGTGATGGCTTATGGGATGTGATGAGCAGCCAGTGTGCAGTTACAATGGTGAGGAAGGAGCTCATGCAGCACAATGATCCCGAGAGATGTTCAAAAGTGCTTGTCAAGGAGGCACTCCAACGAAACACCTGCGATAACCTCACTGTTGTCGTGGTCTGTTTCTCCGAAGATCCACCTCCTAAAACCGAAATTCCCAAATCTCACAAGAGGAGAAGCATTTCAGCTGAAGGGTTGGACCTTCTCCAGGGTGTCTTAAGCAACATTTGAACACAACTTGCATAGATAAGATGGAGCTTACACCCCTGTCGGGGATTTTTCTGAGTCGCTCCAGAACCCCTGCTGCGGCTTCCCCTTCCGGGTTTCTTTAACTCTTAAGTCCTGTACAACTTGAGATACGATTAACAATCTCGAATTTGATTCTTTAAAATCAGAATTTTTTTGAATGTTAGAATTGCATAAGTTGCTGCAGGGCTTGCACCGGTCAGCTTACTTTCAACTTGATTAAATAGCAAACTCTACAAGTAGTAGTCCTCCTATATGTACAAATTGAAGAAATATGGGTCATGTCTACAGCTTTTTTTCCTCTCTCTTCCAAGTTTTTTTTTTTAACGAGATAATATTATAAACTACTCTAATCTACGGTATTGATTTGATACCGGCATGGGCATGCCGGGGCACTGGGACGCGTAATGCTGGGCGTTGTCGTTAAAGCACGTGATGAGAATGCCAAGGTGAAGCAGTCGGATCCGTACTGCCAGTACATGTCCTTGGAGTCCATCTGTAAGTCTTAGTACGGCTAATTCTATGGGGATCAAGATTGTTAGGGAGTAGAAGTGATTTTGGAAGATGTCTAAATTCTAAACCCTAGGTTTTTTTAGGAGAAAAAGGGAAAAGAAACCCTGTATTTGTTACTCATATTCTAAAATTTTTTGTTTCATTAAGAGAAATTGAATTCGTAATTTGGAAAAGATATTGATAGACTGTCTGACTAGGACAACTCTCACACTGAATGAAATAAAAATACATAAAATTTTATGTTGTGCCCTACTGATGACGAGGTCAAGCACCTGGCCACAAAACTAATGCACTCCGAGAGGATACATATAGATTTGCCGCACAAGACACACATGTTTGGTTAAAATTACAAACTTTCATTCGAACAGACTACTAACTTGTAGCGATTTTGGTTTTCTTTTTTTGTACTAGATCAAAATACTTTGGTCCTTGCTCTAAATGGTTACGCATTTTTCCTAATCCTTGGTAAAATCATGACATGACAAAAAATTAGTAAGTTACCACTCTTCTTCCATAAAAAATGAAAAAAAGAAGAAGTTACCACTTCTTTTTTGTTCAAAAAAAAAAAAAAAAATGAAAGTGATGATAATGGGTTGGGTCCAATAGTATCAAACCAAAAGCCCAGCCCACCAAGGCCTACTCCTACTTGCTTCACTCTCCATTTCCCACAGAACCCAGACCTCCCAGGCGGGTGTCTGTAGTCGAGTAGCAAAACCCATGGCAACCCTGAAGGAAATCCTAACCCGACGACCCGTGACGGCGACGATCCGCCTCACGGTCCCGGCGGGAGCAGCCCGACCCGTAGCTCCGGTGGGTCCCGCTCTGGGTCAATACAGGCTCAACCTGATGGCCTTCTGCAAGGACTTCAACGCCCGGACCCAAAAGTACAAACCCGACACGCCCATGGCGGTGATCATCACCGCCTTCAAAGACAACACCTTCGAGTTCACGGTGAGGTCGCCGTCCGTCACATGGTACCTGAAGAAGGCCGCCGGGATCGAGTCCGGCAGCAGCCGTCCCGGACACGCGGTGGCGTCGACGCTGTCGGTGAGGCACGTGTACGAGATCGCGAAGATGAAGCAGTCCGACCCGTATTGCCAGTACATGCCATTGGAGTCCATTTGTAAGTCGGTTATCGGTACCGCTAATTCTATGGGAATGAAGGTTGTTAAGGAATTGGAATGATTTGGGGGAAAATGCGCAATTTGAAACCCTAGGTTTTATAGTAATTGTTGTTTTTGGGGAAAAGATTGTGTCTTTTTGTTGGGTTTGAGATATGCTGATTCATAGGATGAACGATTATGATAGTATGCACGAAGGTCCGTGATTAAAACACTAAGAGTTTTAAGTAGGAGTTACTACTAATCTTTAAGTAGCCAAGTATTGTTCTTTTGTTAGTGATCATGAGATTAGCGTAATTGAGTGGCTCTTTTCTGCTTGTGATTTCGTGGTAGTTTTCGACGAGGAATGAGGAGGGTTTTCGTTTCGTTGAACTAGCCTTGTTTTGTTTATGATGTCTCTGTTTATGCATCTGAGTGTCGTGATATTGTGGTAACTGAAGAAACACCTGAAGTTGATTGATTGAAAAATGTCGCTCGGTTTCAAATGTAGGAGTAGTTTGATCGTAGGTAGAATTCGGATTTTTCCTTTTCTGTTTGTTAGATCATTTGAATATGGTTGTGTATACTTTTAGTTTGCCAAGTTGGAATGCGGTTTCCGGGAAGGGATACGGGAGTATCTATGGCTGGAAATTTCAGTTTGTGAATTGTGATGTTGTGTTTTAGGCTCTTGAGTGAGTTTGATGATTTGAAAACAGATCATATCGTTTTAAATTCTATTGCAATGATGTACATGATTAGAGGTTTGAGTTGAAGAGGTAGGATGGAACGAGTTTTGAAATTTCGGAAACAATGGAGGGAGGACAAAGGGGTAGGTGGTTCTAGTTTTTATCGGAGTGCCTCATATTTGTATGTATAAGGAAAATTGATTGGGTGAAGCATTTGAGCTGTTTATAAGAGTTGGAGCATGTTACTAGTTCGGTTTTGTGAGGAGACGCCACGGAGAATACAAGGAGCTATATAATCAGATGGTTGGGGAAGGGGAGGTGTAGGCCTTCTTGTCCATGATCATTTCATCTATGAACTTTGGCGTGACAAAGGGCTTGTTTGGATGTGCTTTTATAATGACTGAAAGTATTTTTAGAGAAAATGTTTTTCGGTTCCAAAAGCATTTGAAGTGCTTTCTGCAAGAAGCACCAGTTATGTGCTTCTTCTAGGATGCACTTTTAAGTGTTTTTCCAAAATTTTCTTGCATTTTAACTAAGGATTGGTTCAAAAAACATTTTAACCAAAAACGTTTTTAGTCATTTTAAAAGCACATCCAAACGAGCTCAAAAAGGGTATGGTCGTTGCGCCTTTGGGCTGATGAAAGAGATTATTATTCATGGTTACTTTCCTGTAGCATCAACATTTGATGTTCATGATTTGATGATTTGACCATGGAAGTTAGGAACTTAAATGTTTCTCTGGAACTCATGGTCCTCTGAGGGGTTTGCCGGGCTGCTTTGATTTTACACAAAAATTGCAATTGGTACAAAAGGTCGTCAAAGGAACTTGTTTTTCTACGTCTAAATTAGGAACATAATGGTTAGAGTCTTGAGTGAACAAGAATGTTGGGGAGACAGTAGCAGACTTTGCCTTATGAAGTAGTTTTTCTTCTTGCATTCCAAGTCAATCATTCTAAAAATATAAAGTCTAGCTTATTATCCGAATTATGAATTGTTAAGGTATGAAGTAAATAAGAGATATTTCCGTGCTATTAGTTGTATAAAATTATATATTTATATTTTTCGTAACATGATTGTATGCAACGGGAGCATTTTTGCCCACCACTATAAACTATGGTGTATGCTTACCATACACCTAATCAATTGATATGTGTTCTTTCACCTAATTTCAGTTAACTTTCACATTAAATGTTAGTTTTTCAATTTTGAAAAAAATTAACCAAGATTAAGTGAATTGATACGTATCAATTGATTAGGTGTATGATAAGTATACATCATAATTTATGATGGTGAGCAAAAATGCTTCCGTATGCAACTGGTGATATGACGTATTAATTGTCGTGAAGACGGCTCTTTGTTGACAATAAATGGTTGAAAAGTTGCAACTGTTAATTCAACAGAAAGGTCTTAAATTTAAAAATTAGTACAAAATGTGGTAGAAAATTAGAAATTCAATTTGGTGGTGCTTGTCTGCGCTGTCGTCACCGATATTGCTACATCAATGAGAAATTATGTGTATAACGACACCGAAGCCGTAACATTCAAAAGACACCTGTCATGAAACTCCAAAACAAAATTAGGTTTGATATAGGCTAATTATATTAACATCCTACAAATTGTTGAATAAATTCTACAAACTTAATACACTCAACATTTGCTTTTTCACTTAAAAATTATCTTAATACACTCCACTTACTTTTCCATAATACCCCACATCCCACATTCTCAATATACATCTTATATTTTGTACATACATCCCACATTTCTCAAATTTTATAACACTCATTTTTTATTTTCAGAGATTGAATCTAACCATATGAACACTAAAAGATGAATATGAATATAGAAGTCTAAACAATGCAGCAAACGCAAAATTAAATAATTATCGATATCATCGAAATCACTAAAACAATGAAAACTATGAAGTCTTACCTCATGTGAAGCCCCTGAAACATCGATTTTGTGTTCCATTCGTCAAAAACAATTTTTCTTAATCAACATGTTTGATAGTTGAGAAGATAAATAATACGCCAAAAGTGATTTGGGATGTATTTATAAATCTTTATTTTTTTTAAAGCCTAATAAGGTCAAAATTGTCATTGCATAGTGGAGTAAATAAGTCATTTAATATTAAATTTTAATGTGGGGTGTATTCAACATTTTGTGGGGTATTAATATAAAAACCCTTGATATACCATGATTTCAACGAAATTTATAATCAAGAAAATAATGAAATTAAAAAAAAAAAATTTAATAGGGATTTGTAATTTTATAGTTAAATTGATTAATAAAAAGGAGGTTTTAGAAAATGAAAACATAATAAGGTTGGGTAACAATGCATCATTTTATTTTCTTGAGAGGTGTTTCCACTACTATATATTGATTTGTTAGACAGTTTCATATTATCAACAATCACGTCATATAATTTATAAAATATAATTTAAACAAATAATCCTAATAATACGGTGCATTATACAAAATATAATAATACAATTAATTAAACATCTTAAATAAAATTTTCAACTAATTATATAATTATGACATTTATCGAACCGTGTTTCTGTCGTACGGACAATTTCCCCCCTAACAAGCCGTGTTTCAACTTTCAACCAATTATTCTCATTTGGCTCCTTCGATTACTTCCAAGCTACCCAGCAACCCGCCACATCTACACCAACCATCTTTCCTAATTCCCAATTTCCGTCAACTCTTTTACTCCAATCCAATCTCCAAATTCTCTCTTTTTCCTCCCTAAACCCCAAAATTCCAAATTTCTTACTTTCTACCATTAAAAATTAGAAACTTGCAATTGTCCACCCAGCGAGCGGCACAGAGCGGCAGCAGCCATGGTGGTGTTTGACAAAGAAGCCGGCTCCTCCACCAACACCCTCCCGCCCTTCCCCCGGGAAGATACTCCTCTCCTCTCCAAACCCAGCAAGCTCTCCTCCCAACCCAAGACCTTCGCCAACGTCTTCATCGCCATCGTCGGCTCCGGCGTGCTGGGTCTACCCTACACCTTCAAGAAAACCGGCTGGGTCTTCGGCTCCCTCATGCTCTTCTCCGTCGCCTTCCTCACCTACCACTGTATGATGCTCCTAATCCACACCCGCCGCAAGCTCGAATCCCTCCACGGCGGCGGCCTCTCAAAGATCGCGTCTTTCGGCGACCTGGGCTTCGCCGTCTGCGGCCCAGTCGGCCGGTTCTCCGTCGACGTCATGATCGTCCTCGCCCAGGCCGGGTTCTGCGTCAGCTACCTAATCTTCATATCAAACACTTTAGCCTTTGTTTTCAATTACTCCGGCCCGGACCGGATTCTTGGTCTGACCCCCAAATCAATCTACCTCTGGGGATGTTTCCCATTCCAGCTGGGTCTGAATTCGATTCCAACCCTGACCCATCTCGCCCCTCTGAGCATTTTCGCTGACGTCGTCGACCTCGGCGCCATGGGAGTTGTAATGGTGGTAGACGTCATGATCTTCCTCCAAAACAAACCCGCTCTGCAGGCGTTCGGCGGCTTCTCCGTCTTCTTCTACGGCCTCGGCGTGGCGGTTTATGCCTTCGAGGGGATCGGAATGATCCTCCCCCTTGAATCCGAAGCCAAAAACAAAGAAAACTTCGGGAAAGTCCTGGCCTTGAGCATGGCATTCATAGCTCTGATCTACGGATCATTCGGAATTCTGGGTTACTTCGCATTCGGGGAAGAAACCAAAGACATAATCACAACCAATTTCGGGCAGGGCGTTGTGAGCACACTGGTGCAGCTGGGTCTGTGCATAAACCTGTTCTTCACTCTCCCGTTGATGATGAACCCGGTTTTCGAGGTCGTGGAGCGGCGGTTCTGCGGCTCCACCTACTCCCTGTGGCTGCGGTGGCTGACGGTTTTTGGGGTGAGCCTGGTGGCGCTGCTGGTGCCGAATTTCGCAGATTTCTTGTCGCTGGTGGGGAGCAGTGTGTGTGTGGCGCTGGGGTTTGTGCTGCCTGCTCTGTTTCATCTGATGGTGTTTAGGGATGAGCTGAGTTGGTTTGGGAGTGTTTTGGATGGGTGCATTGTGGTATTGGGTGTGGTGATTGGGGTGTCTGGGACTTGGTCCTCAGTGGCGGAGATTATTGCACCCAAAGCTCGATTTGGTTGAGTGGTTGATCAATTAAGCTTTGATTTGCTGCTGCCAAAACTGTACTTTGTTGCTAGTTTTGTTGATTATTTCACCAATTGTAAGGACTTAGATGTATGTTTTGTGACATAGTGGATATTTTTCCAATTGTAAGGACATCAAATTTACTGGTGATTTGGTGGATTGAGTTGGTACTTCTTGTTGATACTGCTTTTTAAAAGGTTAAAAGTTGTTTGAGTTTGTTTTTGAGTAAATTATAGCAATTATCTCTCAATTTTAACTCAATTAGAGCTATGATCCCTCAAGAAAAAATTCATTACCATTAGTCTCTCAACTTATCAAAGCGTACAGCTATGGTCAATTTCATCAACTCCGTTAGAACTTCCGTCAAAATGAGTTACGCGTCATGCATGTGAGACTTGAGGCTAAATCAAGGGGTAAATATGAAAAATCAAATAAGAAAAATTGTATCAATGATCCCTCAACTTTAATTCAACTAGACAAATTGTCCCTCAAATTTAATTAGATCATAGGTGCCCTAAACCTTAAAGTGTTTTTTATTGCGTTTTAGAGTTTGTTTTTCGCAAATTGCTTCTGAATAGGGTTTTAGCCTTTTAGGGTTTGGAGTTCTCCATGATTTTAGATCATAGATCCTAAACCCTAAACATTTAAATGCACTTTCCAAAAATGTGAAACATCATATTCGATTAAATAAATAAAAAAATGTCTTAAATACGTTGTGATGTCAAAGAAGGGTGTACAAAAATGTGAAACATCCTCTATCTTTATGGGTATGTCTTTAATGTCACATAACAGTAAATATTATTCGAATTTGAATCGTTGAATTCAATTTTCACAATTGTTAGATAATCAAATTTCTTCTCAATCATTTATTTTTGGCACCACTAATAAGAGTTTGGAAGTGCTCTACTTTTGGCACCTACAACTCCACAACTTCATGCACATTTCAGGCCTTATTAATGTTGACAGACATTTACGTCAGGACCAAGAGTAGAAGAACTTGCATAAAATGAGTTCGTCGCTGCATGACATCCCCATCCTTAATAAATAAGTAAAGAATTCTATTCGTGATCATATCTCTTGTTTGAACAAAAGATAAACCACAATTTGTGTGCTCATATTGATTATATTATGAGGCTTGAACAATACAATGACTTGTAACGCCCCAAATGTTTGATGATTTAGACTTTAATAGACAAAAGGGGAAAGCCATAAAGAAATCAAAGACTATTGGGCAGGTGGCTAACACCCATCAAACCAACATCAACCCCTTTCTAACACCTCAGAAATCGATCACTTCACTCCACTTAATGAGTATTCCCCACCCCAGCAGTCCCCCCAAAATCCATGGCCACCTCATACTTTTAGTGATTTCCCAAAAACCCCAAATCCCTAATTTTGCAATTTCTCAGAAATCGATACTCCTACCTAGTGAGTTTGCTTGATTATGACTACGGACAGAGTAAAGTTTCTCAAAACCTCTCGCAGGTGTCCCCCTTTTTGGAAAAAAAAATAAATAACAATACAGTGCTCCAAGTTATAAGATGTTTTTAAGAAAAAATTGTAGCGCGATATTGTTAGTGAGTTAAATAGTTAATTATTAAGAAGAAAAAAAGATCGATAAAGATCGAACCCTCATCATGAATTATAAGCATAATTATTTTCTGTCACTGCGATAAAACACCATCAATTATTTCAAATCATTAACTATTAAAAAATTATTTTTTATATCTTTTAAACGATTAAAACGTTCGAAATGATCTAGTCCGGATCACGTACAACATCCCCATCGCGAAGGGGCAAAATGACCCACCACTTGCTGCACCGAGAAAAAATGCCAGCAATAGCAAGCAACTAGGAAAATAAAGCAAGCAAGGAGAAAAAAGTGGAGAGACATCGGAGGAGAGAGGAGAAGAGCCTTTCTGTTGAACACCACACAATCCTCCATTTTAATCTCTGACACAAGGAAGAGTGAGTGAGTCTCCTTCCTCATTGCAATGCAGTCGTCGATTCAAATCAACCAAACTTCCCACTTTTAGCTTTTACCCATCGTTTCAAATCGCCTTCCATTGACGAAATCGCAGTAAAGGTCGTTGCTTTTTGGGTTTTGGGTTCGTATTCAGGAAACCCAGTTCGAATTTGGATCGGAAAAGGAGAGAAACCTGGTTGGATCAATGTCGTGCTCATCTTCATCTGGGTCGGAGGAGGACGATGAGGGCATCGACTCCTACAGGAAAGGAGGCTACCACGCCGTCAGGGTCGGCGATCAGTTCAACGGCGGCCGCTACGTGGCTCAGAGGAAGCTCGGTTGGGGTCAGTTCTCCACCGTCTGGCTCGCTTACGACACCACCACCTCTGTAAGCCAAGCTTCTTTTTTCATTCATTTTTTGTGTCATTAAAAATGTTTCTTTTTATTATTAGTTATTGGTATGAAATCTTTTCTGCATTACATTTTAATCCCTGAAATTTATTTGCTTTTCATTCATAATTTACATTTGTTTATCGACTTTAGCAATTTTCTTTGTATTATGATGCTTACATGTCTAAGATCTTCCTTAATTTTTTCAAATTTGCATTCTCCATGCATTTTTTTTATTGATGTATGATTTACCTTTCAACCGTATTCGATTGTCTTCGATTCGATGTTTGATCACTTTTGGATAGGCTGAAGAAGGGATTTTTGTCAACAAGACATTATCTTCATATGTTCTGTATATGCAGTAATGCTGAATGCATAATTTCTCTGTGTTTTCGTATTACGATTGTAAATTTTAGTTCACTGCTTCCATTTTTGGCTCTTTCGTTGCCCCATGCATCCGTGTGAAGTAGATAAATCGAAGGAAGAATAATATGTTTACTTCAGTTACTCTGATTGTTGCATCATCTTATTTCTCTTTTGTATTTGTTAGATGTACGTTGCTCTTAAGATTCAGAAAAGTGCAGCACAGTTTGCTCAAGCCGCTCTTCATGAGATTGAACTTCTTTCTAGTATTGCGGAAGGCGACCCCATGCATTCCAAGTGTGTTGTGCGACTGATTGACCATTTTAAGCACGCAGGCCCGAACGGGCAGCATCAATGCATGGTCCTTGAGTTTCTTGGCGATAGCTTACTTCGGCTGATCAAGTATAACCGTTACAAAGGCCTTAAGTTGAATAAAGTTAGGGAGATCTGCAAATACATACTGATAGGTCTCGACTATTTGCATAGAGAACTTGGTATAATCCACACTGACCTCAAACCCGAAAACATTCTTCTCTGTAACACCATTGATCCTGCCAAAGATCCAGTCAGGGCTGGCCTCACACCAATTCTGGAAAGGCCTGAAGGGAACCTGAAGGGTGGAGCCACCATGACTCTTGTTGAGAAAAAGTTGAAAAGGAGGGCAAGGAAGGCAGTTGCTAAGATTTCGTTGAGAAGAGAATCTATGGGAGTTATTGAACTTCCCAAGTCCGAAAGAAACCTGGATGGGAATGATGTAAAGTGCAAGGTTGTTGATTTCGGAAATGGATGTTGGGCCAACAAGCAAATTGCAGAAGAGATTCAAACAAGGCAGTATAGAGCTCCTGAAGTTATCCTTCGATCTGGTTATTCTTACTCAGTTGATATGTGGTCCTTTGCCTGCACTGCCTTCGAGCTTGCAACTGGCGACATGTTGTTTGCTCCAAAGGTGGGACAGGGCTTTAGTGAGGATGAGGTAAAGATGGTTTCACTTTTACACCATTCTGTTTTCGTTTTATAACAAAATTCTATCACAACAAAGTTGTAGAGAGTATCCGTCTTTTCCATATTTGAGAATTCAATTAAACCCCATGGTTTCTCTTTTAAAGCTTTGAACCCCAGCTCCCCAGACAATTCTAATGTATGTAGACGGGAATTTCTCTTTATGTACAATTCGACATTTTGAATCAGGTTTCATGTTATCGACTGTATTTAGTTCTTCATGTTAATTAAATACTTGCAGTTTGTCAAATTTGTGCGATTGGTCATGTTATGCAGAGAATACTCCATTTCTTACTGCCTTCTGTTTACTGGTTTGCAATTGAAATATTTGTTCGATTGATTTCAGGACCACCTTGCATTGATGATGGAACTCCTTGGGAAGATGCCTCGAAAGGTGAAATTTTAATCCTTAATCTCCCCTTTATAGTTATATTTCTCGAATAACTTTGTCTGGTACCATTCCTCTCTTATACTTGGGTTTTCAGGTAGCAATTGGTGGAGCTCGTTCCAAGGACTTCTTTGATCGACATGGTGATCTAAAGAGAATCCGCAGGCTGAAGTTTTGGCCACTCGATAAAATACTGATTGATAGGTACAAATTTTCAGAGACTGATGCTCGGGAGTTTGCAGAGTTTCTTTGCCCCATTTTCGACTTTGCACCAGAGAAGCGGCCAACAACTCAACAGTGCCTCCAACACCCGTGGATCATTGGCAGTACTTCGAACCAGAGCGAGATGAAAAATAAATCTAAAGTGGAAAAGGTGAATGTTGGGATGAGCAACCATCAGATCAAGGTTGGCAAGTGAAGAAAACCCTGGAGGATGGAGGATGATGATGCCGGCAACACCTACCACACCATTTCTAACGCTTCCAAATGACTCCCCTCCGCACGTATGACCTATTGATTGCGATTTAATTTTGTTGATTACGCATCTAATACGATTCTTATTATTTTTCAATTAACTATTACTATAAGAGATGTAAATTAGTAACGATTTTCGCGAGAAAAATGATGTCGAAAAATTTGGATAGAGAATTCGGCTGTCGCTTCGGATATCTGCCCCTGGTGGCTTGTATACTAGCTAAAACCAGAACAATGTTTTCCCACAATTTTTATGCCGATGATGAAGATTGATGACTTTCTTGAGTTAGGGTTTTAGTTTTCTTAATCCTTTCTTGACCTTTGTTTTGCTCTCCAATTTTATTCCTAATTTCTTGAGAATGGAAGATGAATCTGATAAGAATTCGGTACGGATTTGTGCTTAATGAGAATATAATTCAATGGTACGGATTCGTGCTTAATGAGAATATAATTCAATGGATTGTGATGAATTTATACCCGAATAGACAGCGTTAAGATTCGTGCTTAATTAGAAACATTGATAATTAGTTATGGTAAATCTATATCCTAATAACGAACAATGAATGTTTCGAACTAACTGCTACAACTGCCTTTTTTTGTGACATAACATTCCACCATTACATGTACAATAAATCGAGTCCGGATTGTCGCCGGATTCTCTTTGTGAGGATTTCGGAGATCCGTGAATCGTATCTGTTCATCGTACATCGTGCGGTCAGAAATCATTTTAAATATTTTTATTTAAAAATAAACATAAACAGTACTTAATAAAAATTGATCATGTACGATAAACGAACACGATTCACGAATTCCAAGATCCTCACCAAAAGGATCCGGGGTTGGCAATAAATCGACTGATTTGCAACAAATCAATTGACAAATGAAACATGCTTAATTCCAGCGTCAACTAACAGGTGTATGAAAACCCAAGTGGGGTCACCGCCAAACAACAAGTGGGCCCCACTGCCGACGTACAACAGCAACTTCTGAAACTAATTAACTACGGCAATGCACTGACACGTCGTCATGAAATTTTTTATATTTTAGCATGTCACAGCAGGGATTCTAATATACGAAATATTTGAGTGTTTCGATCGTTAGATTTTTGTTTTTTGTTATGAAAATTTGTAATCTCATTAAAAGATTTGGAATGTAAATTTCGAGCATCTTACAATTTTTATGTTATTCTTTTACTATTTGATCTGATTACTGTATTGTTAATTAAGAATCTAAAAGAATGCATGAAGATTACAAAGTTTATAAGCCAAAATGAGATCCAAAAGTTAATAGAAGTGAAAATGTTATAATAGCTCACTCTCAAGTGGACGAAACTCCTGCATTTGAATTCCTTCAAACTCAGCTCTTGCAAGAGAATGGATTATTTTAGAAAGTTTAAAAAGTATTTTAGTTTCTCATTAAGGTTAGTTGTAGTATTTCATATTTTTTTTTTTTTTGTAATTTAATTATAAGAAGGGTTAGCTTTGGTAAAGGCTGACTTGAATTTTTACACCAAACGTTCAAAAGGGCAGGTCATTTTAGGTAAATGACGTCATCCATAATATTTTACGTTTTACTTTTTCATCCACAGTCGGCGAGTCCAACTTCCAATTAATATTTGGCTCTGAAAGCTTCAAGAGTCAGCACTACTGGACAGTAACCCCAATCCCAACACATTTTAAATTACTGACAGACCACTGTAACTGTACTTTTTAGACAAATCCCAAATCAAGCGGATTGAGTATTTCCCGTGTCATAAAATAAAGAAAAATATAAAAAGATATATTATTTTTTTCACTTGTATTATGAATTGTAGAGTACCACTTGTATGCACCGTGCTTAAAAAAATTTCTTGTGCTATTAGTTCAGTGTAAAATTCTTCATTTTAGTATAGACTCGCTCATAACATGAATTAAAATTCATAATCGTTAGGTTATTGGTCATTGAATTATTTGATAAGGATTCACCAGTCATGAATCTCGATCGTTCTAGAACTTTTTATTCATAGTTATGTGAGAAAGAACACAGTGATCCAAATGTTGCTTAATTTTAGTGTTATGTGATGGAATCTTTATATTTTCTTGATAAATATTTCTCTCGATCCAGATAATATAATTGGGTTTATTTTTTAGAGTTCTTTTATTATTTCTTTTATAAACAGAAATGTTTTTAATGATCCATTTTTTTTGGTTTTTTTTGAGACATTTAGAAAAAATTTTGTTTGTTCTTTAAAAATTCCTAGAATTATAAAACATTTCTTTTGCAATTTTTTAATTTTTTTAGTAGTGAGCGTTTATGATAGATTCAGAGTTCAATTCTCTTAATGTAACCGAAAAAAAGTCGGTATATCATATGGAGTTTAGTTGCTGGAAAGTGGAACTACCATATGTCGAGAACAGATCGTCTGTTCTAATCAACTCTTTAGGCCAAAACCTAAATGAGATCACCAATTTTTTTTAACAAACAATATTACTATCCTAAGGGGGATGAGTGTGGGCTTAGCCTCACAATAAGCTGGTAGTAATGTGATTCAAATTCACATTTGACGAAAATATAACCTAAGACCTCTCATTTACAAGTGAAGATGATACCACTGACCATAGTACTAAATGACAAGTGAGATCACCATTAAACACCAGTATTATAAAAAGTAAAACGGTGTTTAACATTAATTAAAGCACAATTATGTTCTTTTTATATTTCTGGCAGCATATTCAAGATTGGATCAAGAACAGCAGAGTACCCAACTGATCAGATAACACCGTATAAATGCTCTGCATTTATGGAAAGAATTTACCCCATTTCATAATTACTGAAAGAATTTACCCCATTTCATTAATTTCACACACAGTAAAAAATTCAAAGCAGAACTTTCACTGCAAGTAAAAACCAGAAAATGAAAAGGAATGAGAATGTTTTATACATCTATGAGCACACCAGCAGTAATTATTGTGCAACATATCAACAAAACACTAGACATGCTAATTACATCCCTGTTATCTCAGCTTCAAGCTTTGCTTTGCTGTCAAATGAACAACAGGCAATTCGGACGAGCCGGTAAAAGCACGACGGATGCAAGAAATGTAACATCTAAATTTACATGTAGTCAGTTCAAAGTTCATTACAAAGCCAAATGGAGCGAAAACAAAGAAAAGGTAACGAAATAAGGCCGTTTTCTATAAGACGTGAAGTTGTGAATCCTACCTCAGCTATTCAATCCTATCCCATGGCTCACCAGTCACAACAATATCCTTTTGACATCAAGATTGCACGACTTTACTTTGTTTCCCGCATGCTGGAGCCTTGAAATCCTTGCATTTCCACACCGGTGCAGCCTCAATTGGTGGCATACTATCGGCTGAAGACTCCACAGGAAACAAAGGCTTCTTTCCGGCATTTGGGTTACCCATGTTCATGTCTGTCAATGGGGAGCCTCTCGCATCTGTTTCTTCTTTCAGATTTGCTTGATCCCTGAAGGTGCAATTGCTCAACGGCAACTTTTTTAGCTTCACTCTTCCCCTCTTTTTACCAGTGGTACTCACAGCATCCCAAGTTTTCTCCTTCATATGACTTGATTCTGCTTCTCCATTATCCATTTCCATTTGACCCACGTTATCAGGTCTACCATTTTCGTACAAGTCTTGGATGGTGCCTTCGACATTGACCTTATCTGCCATAGAATGTCCATTGCAAGTAGATGCCGGGTTTTGTTCCAAAACAATGCCCCCATTGGGAACCCTAACTTTCTCGGAACCATGTGAGATTTTAGGCCTCTTGTTTTTATGACCCTTTCCGTCAGCACTTGATGAATTCTTTATGATTCTTGGAGAGCTATTTATAGCTCTGTGCAACTTTCGGGCCAACTCTTCGTCCTTCTTACAATTTTCAATCGGTCGGTATTTTTTGTACAAGAGTTGAACTGGAACGTGCTTCTTGAACTTGTTCTTTTTCAGGTGTTTTTCCTTGCCTGCTGTTTCTTCCGAAAAAGAGGCAACCAAATCTAAAGCACTCTTGGCTGCAGCCACTGCCTTCGCAGCTATTGCGGCTTTCTCTTCAGCTGCAGCTCTCGCAACCTCTGCAGCCTTCACTGCAGCAGTAGCAGCTGAATTCGAGACCTCTACTAGCTGCTCCGGCGAAAGGTTAGAGTTATGAGAACTCAATATATTGTTAAGGCGGGTGTTAAATTCACTTGAAGAATGTGATGAAGAAGAAGATGCAGAAGCTGAAGCTGAAGCTGATGCTGAATCTGCAGCTGCAGCTGAAGTAGCAACTAGAGACAGCCATGCAACACTATCACCATCCGGGCTCTGTTTCTTCAAACCAGCAAGCAGACGTTTTCGAGGAGGCAGAAGGACATCAGCATCCAAATGATTGACGTCACAGATGTTTGCCTCCATCGGTCTGCTTCCAGTATACCCCTTTTACACTGCAATGACAATTACTCTTCACACAGAGGGGATGACCACTCCATCTACATAATAACAAGAACTAAATCAAGTTTTGATGAAAAGACAAATGCTTGATACATGAAATACCCAAATAGAAAAACCCTAAAAGCTTTGCAGCCTACCAATCCCAAATCCCAAATCAATCCAACCGTTCTTAAAATCAAATCAACATACACAGATCGTTTGTTTACTCGTGCAAAAACCCGAATGAAGAGACAAGAACTTAAAATTCAGATTTGGGTGGCTTCAGGTTCCAACAAAAACCTTAAAACCAATAACCTCGACTAAATCCCGGGAAATTCACATAGCTAAATTGAGTTCTGTCTCCTCTTCTTCAATCAACCTAGTTAACTTGCGACAACGAAAGCACATCCGAAAAACCACAAATCACCTTGCCCTTATCCAACCCTCAAAATTTTCCCGGGAACCAAACAAAGCTTAATCAAACCTCATCCAATAAAATTCAACAACATTTACAACACAGCTGAATCACAAGCATCACAATCACAGCAAAATTCAAACACACCAACCCAAACTCATCAAACAAACAAGATCGAAAGCAGACAATCAAACGAGCAATAATCGAAACCAATCCGCAATCCCACAAAGCTCAATTCACCATAATTCAACAAAATCAATGCAAGTTTCAATTGTCATTACCAACAATTCAATCAAAATTCAATACAAATGATCATAACAGAGAGAGGAGGGGAAGCAAAAAACAAAATACCTGATCTTAAAGCTAAAGCTGTCTCCTTTTAGACAAAGGAGAGAGATAAACGGCAGAGCTGCAATTAGGGTTTTCAGAGGGAGAGGAAGAAAATCAGGATGGTGAAGGAAAAATGGAAGATGTTGTTTGTTTCCCTTTTATATAATATTATTAATTAATATTTTTGTGCCAAAAAGACAGAGAATTTCGATTGGTTCTGGTTCTGGTTCTAGAACCCCCACAATTAAACCCACCATTTTTGTTCCTTATTTTTTTACCCATTTACTCACTCTCTCCTGCCACCATGGCATCACCATGCATTCATGCTAATTTGCTTATCCATTTTTTTTAAATTTTGTTTTTTAAATTTTATTTACCCCTCACTCTATTTATTAACTCATTTATGAATGCCAATTTCATCCTTTGTCAAGTTTGTTTTTAATTGTTTAATTATTTGTTTCATGTTTTTGATAGATTCAAACTCATAACTATGAGTAGGATGCATTTTTGCTTATCATTATCAAATGGTGATCACGCTTGCCACTTTACTTATTATCATTGAATGTGTTTAAATTTTGAGATCCACCATACACATCTTAAAATTTAAACTTATTAAACGGTAATAAATAAAATGATGAGCAAAAATATTATCTTATTGAGTAGCAAGAAATAAAAATATTATTAACCAAATTGAGCTACAAGCTACTGACTTAACAAATTAGGTTCGATGACTCATTGGGTAATTTTTGGGTTGGTCATGGTCTTGCTTGGATAGATTAGTGAGGTTTTGGTTGATGTAGGGGTTTACCTTTTTTTTTAATTGGGGTGAAAAGGGTATTATAATCATGTTTGATTATTTGGGTTATGTGGTGGTTAGTTGACTTTTGTTTTGAATAATGTTGTATTGTCCAAATCCCAACACGAGAAACATTGGATATTAGCTGTCATCTCATGTTTTTAGTATAATATTTTATAATATTGGCATAAAATTGACGTTAAATAATAAGGTGACATAGTCCATGAGAGTCTTTACTTTGAAATAATCTCCTTAGCATTTCTCGCATCGTTATTGTTGATTGCTTAGTAAAATTCTAGTTTAGTGGTGCAATTTTTTCATATTAAATTCTTAAGACATACCCAATGGTCAAATGAGAAGGATAATATGATGACATGATGGAAGGATAAGGAAAAAATAGGCCCCAACTTTTATTTTTATTTTTGCAAAATACTCAAATAGAAATAATTTATAGGGGTAGATCGGTAATTAACATGAGGACGTCACGTGAAAGGGATAACGACCGCTTGAAATTGTGAATTACATTACCTGCGGCTATATACCTGTCAAGCGCCACGTGTTAGGGTTTCAATATCAGCCAATGACGTTCCAGCTGTGACTCACCGAGTCCCCGCCACCTGTGAGTTTATCAAACCCTGCTGGGTACACTGGCGCAAGCGGTGGTTAAAGATTCAGTTAACTGGTGCCTGGCACCGAACCGCCTTTTTTTCTTCATTCGTTTTCGAAACCCGTGAGCTCGGAGAGCTCCGAACTGTCGTCCGATCATCCAAACGACGTCGTCGTACCGAAGCCCTAACCCCTAACCTAAGAACCCTAATTTCGAATTCGTTCTTTCAGGTAAGCTACGGAGCATTTCAATTCGCCAAAACATTTTCCTTTTCTCTGTTTGGTTGCTGAGAAAGTGCGGGAAAATTGATGGAGGTAAGAATTTTTCTTTTTCTGTGAGTTAATGGATTGGAAAGTATCGGCATTTTAGGTCTCGATGAGGGGCGTAAAGCCGTTGCCGGAGGCGGTTCGTAGCTCGGTGCGTTCTGGAGTTGTCCTGTACGACCTGACGAGCGTTGTGGAGGAGCTGATTTTCAATAGCTTGGATGCCAGTGCAACGAAGGTAATTACTTTATGGAATTTAATTAAGCTTGATTAAGTTTGTGTTTTAAGTAGTAATGATGGTGAATAAGTTAATTAGCTTTACAACTGTTTGTTTATGGTCTCAGGTATCGGTTTTCGTAGGTGTTGGGACATACTATGTAAAAGTAGTGGATGATGGTCAGTGCTGATCTTCCTCTTTCGGTTGTAATCTAAAGAATGTTCGGTTTTGGTGCCTTGGATAATGTTTGTTAATGTTACTTGTAGGGCGCGGGATTACTCGTGATGGATTGGTGTTGGTGGGAGAAAGATATGGTAAAGTTCTCATTTTCCCTTATAATCAATCCTTTAATTGAATGTACTTTAAAATATTGATGCTTGACTTAGATGCGTCTATGTTTTGTGAATTTTATGATGTATGGTATATTTAATAAGCAGCAACGTCAAAGTTTGATCATTCTACTAAGACGGATGCTGGAACTGGGAGCTTTGGTTTCCGAGGAGAAGCATTGGCTTCCATTTCTGATGTTTCATTGTTAGAAATCTTAACAAAAGCTTATGGGAGGGCAAATGGGTATCGCAAAGTCATGAAGGTGTGGGCTTTTTACTGTTTTGCGTTTGTTTTTCATAACCGAATTGGTTTGTGCCTTTATGCAAGTTTAGCTCTGGTTAACTTTTCCTCCATTTTTCATAGGGATGCAAATGTTTGTATCTTGGAGTAGATGATGACAGGAAGGATGTGGGCACTACAGGTACCAACCTATTACTGTTGCTATTGTCTTCATTTAAGCTTGTCAAATTTTCTAATTACATTACATTACTCCGGATAAATGGATTTCATTTGTTTATGGAAATGAATTTCATTGAAGGTTTATCAAACATGGTTAATTTGACGGGTTCCATTACATTACTCTGGATAAATGCTTAATTGCATTTTCCCTGGATAATTCCACGTACATTAAGATTTTGATTGATCACTTGGTTGTTGTTACAGTTGTTGTTCGTGATCTGTTTTACAATCAACCAGTTCGGAGGAAGTACATGCAATCCAGGTGCCAGTTGTGGATCATTTTGTTTTCTTTATGTGGTTGATATGAGATTGTTTTCAGCTGCCTCAAACAATATAGTGCAATGAAATAAACTGATTTGATCTGCTTTTTGATTTGCTTTACAAACTGGAAGCCCCAAGAAAGTATTGGACTCTGTCAACAAATGTGTACATCGGATTGCCCTTGTGCACTCAGATGTTTCTTTTAAAGTTGTAGATATTGAAAGGTTTTCCTCTAAACACATTTTCTAGTTGAAGAATGTATGGTTATTGGTCTTTATTTCCTTGTTTATTAATTTAATACTAACTCTATGTAGTGAGGATGAGCTTCTTCGTACAATTCCTTCTCCCTCTCCCTTGACACTATTGAAAAGGACTTTTGGGACTGAGGTCGCCGACACTCTTCATGCATTGAACACAAGTGATGGCAAATTACAGCTTTCTGGATACATATCTAGCCCTTGCAATAATGTCACCAATAAGGTAGAAGGATTTATATAGATGATGTAGATGATTTATACTTTTTAAATGTTTGTATCCTTGTTTCTTATTCTTGAAACATTTATTTTGCAGGCCTTCCAGTATATCTGTATCCATGTCTATATTTTGGAGAATACCAAATTATAGAAGGAGTGTGTTAGGTCTGAGATGAGTTATATTTTGTCCTTGACCTTGACACTGGCAGATATTAACTTGCGGTTCGTTTGCAAAGGGCCAATTCATAAATTGCTTAATCAGCTGGCCAATACTTTTGAAATCTGGGATCCAGGTAAGGCTATTGATGGGTCCCAAAATAGGAAGCGAAGTAGGCCTCAGGCATTTGCAGCTTATGTTTTGAATTTAAGCTGTCCCCAAATATTTTATGATTTAACCTTTGAACCATCAAAGACATATGTGGAGTTCAAGGTAACATTCCTTTTTTGACTGTGAGTTGTGATCTATGTATCATATACGATCTGCTACTCAAACGCTAACTTATTATAATATATACATTTGTATTTAAATCGCTGAACATTTATGCTTCTTTTTCTTCTGTCTCCCCCACTTTGGCCAGGATTGGGCTCCGGTACTCGCCTTTATTGATAAGGCCATTCAGAAATTCTGGAAGGAAAAGATGCCTGATGGTACACCTTTGCCCCTGGCTTGTTTCTGAGAGCTTCTTTCACTTACGTTGGTGTGAAGGCATATTAATGAATCATTATTTTGGTATAGTGTATTTTTTAAAAGTGTATTAACCTCTAGGATATTTCTAGGAGAATCTGGTTGTCATGGAGCTGATATTTTCATAGAAGATCAAATGCGGAAGAAAGGTGGCAACATTAAATCTACAGATGAAAGTAAGGAACATGATTTTTTTTTTTTTTTTCACATTTTCATTTGGCAGTGAATTGAGTATGAGTTCTGAGCTGAATGAAAGATGTTAGTTTGGTTCAGTTTTCCTGGCTCATATCCTTTCTCTTGGTAGATTTACTTGATGGAGATTTGTCAGAACTCTCTAAGTTTGGGAAAAAAGAGAGCAGGCAAATTTGTCAGGCTTCTCCTGACATTATGGATGTGTTAATTCAAGAAGAGAACCGTACATCTCAGAAGAAACATGTCAGAATGCCATTTGAATATACTGAAGATTTCAATGGCTTCCAAGGGCAACTTGTTGGGATTGAATTGAGTCCTCACACTGATTATTCTTTTCAATCACGGGATGATTGTCTAGACAAATGCATGCTAACAACTCAACAGAAGGAAAATCATCCTTGGATGTCGGATATCAAACATTTCTCTGATGAAGATTATATCCTTGAGAATAGATCCACTGCTGCAGAAAGATCCAGTAATGTGGAGGACAATATCTTTAGCTCAGAATGGAAAGATGAGCCCTTTAAAGTTGATCCCAGTGTTGGCATTGGTTCAGCAAGTAGTAGAGTATCTTATGACCGGCATGAATTCGATAGCGATGTAGAGTTCACCCAGAATCTAGTACAACCGTTCCTCAAGAGTTGTTCCTCAAAAGAAAGTTTTCTATATGAGAGGGATCTGTGTGCAGATAATGGGATTAAATATCAAAGTGATGGCTTCGGGAACAAGAGAAGGCGGGGTGGCTCTTCTAACAGTGGTGAAATTCCAGAAATTGACGGCAGCAAGAGTTTTGATTTCTTGTGGCCAGAGGAGGAATCAAGTGCTCGGCCCTTAACCAAAATTTTGACAAAATTTGACCTGTCTACAGAGTTTGATTCTCCGTCAAGAGCTTTTATAAAGTCACGTCCACACTATGGGGAGCAGTTTTATGAAGAAAGTTCAGTCATGAATGTAGAGAACATTGGTTCCTGCCATAGGACCTTAAATAATGATTGGTGCTCGTTGATCTCGAATTCGTTATCCCAAAACACGTATTTGGACTATGAACCTGTCTCTGATATAAATGCAGTTGAAGGACATTATAGATCTGTTAAAAGGGCTACTAATAGGCATTTTGTGGATGGTGAAGAAAAGGACTGCACATATGGTTATGGTATAATGTCAAAGAGGTCCAGCCGAGAACACTGCACTACGCATACAGACCATGAACTGGATTTTAGTGATTATTCAAGTTCAGGAAAATTCTTTCAGCCACACAATTTAGATGGCGAGTTTTCTCCCGAATGTTCGGATATATTAGCTGACGAGACAGGTTGGTCATATTTGCATGCCCGCAGAAAAGATAACATGGGTATTGAGTTGTATAAAAAACAAAAAGATAATTTTAGAGATCAAGATTGTCTACAAAATCAATCTTCCATAGGAAGATCGAAAAGAAGCCATTCAGCACCACCATTCTATAGAAGCAAGAGGAGGTACTCTACTTTATGTCATCCTTTGACAACAACAACAGGCAAACCTGATGCACAAACCTTTCATGATGCACCTACTTATCCAGGTATTATCATGTGATTTCCCTTTAGGGCGCAGGAGCTGATATAGGTTTGGCTTAGCTGATACACCTTTTGTGCAGAAGTTAGCAAGATGAAGGATCTCCATAAACCTCCTGGTGGTTGCCATCTAAATTTGAACTCGAGTTCTCTCGAGGATTTCCCACTAGCCATCAGGTACTTGAACTTCAATTATTTTCTCATTAGTCATTACGTTATGTTTTCCTTTTAAGTTATGACTCTATCCTCTCAACCATCAAATTTTCTTTCAGATCAGATATTGAGAAATCTCAAGATATAAAGGCTGGTGTAAACAAGACGCACAAAGTTGAAATGTTTGAACAGTCTAAATGTTCTGAGATTCAAGCCACTGCTCCAATTAAAGGTATCTTGTATGTTTATTATGGACAGTGTAATCAATACTTGAATGCTTATTATAAAATAACTTCTTTATCATTTATTGGACAAAATAGTGTTAGCTCTAAACCTTGCCCTGTTTCAGAATTTATCTCCAAGGATCAAAACTCCCTGAACTGTGGGACTAAATGGCGGAATTGCTGTCCCCAGATCACGGTGAGTAATAATATGTGTGTGTGTGTGAGTGGACAGTTGATGCTCGAGAGTCAAGTATCATCGCTATACTTGTTTTCCGCAAAAGTTTGCATCACTTAATCAAATTGTAATTGGGAATAATATTTTTTTTATAATGCAGAGCTCAAGTAAAACACAAGGTCTTGATGATCAAAACATACTTGACATCTCTTCTGGATTCTTGCATCTCTCTTCTGACTCATTAGTTCCTGAATCTATCAACAAGAACTGCCTCAGTGATTGCAGAGTTCTTCGCCAGGTGGATAAGAAATATATTGCAGTTATAGCCGGTACTACACTTGCTGTCATTGACCAGGTCTGTTTGTTGTATATTTTTTCAGGTTTTTTTTTTTTTTTTTTTTTTTTTTTTTTTTGGAGTTTTGGTTTGGGAGTTATGCTCTTATATAAATCAGCAGTAAGTTTCTTGTTAAATAAGGGGCACCTACAATTCACTTATAGATCACAACAAAAGTTTGCATGTATCTAATCACGTTCTTTACTCACCCAAAAGTGGCCTTCAGAGAGGAAGAAATAAACTACCTAGGATATTAGTTTATATATGAAAATCTTGGTCACTCGAAAACTTTATCAGAATAAGATGGAATTGTATGTCTTCGAAGTAGATGCATAAGCGTAAATATGCAGTACATGCAGCTGTATAAAACATTAACTACATTCATACTAAGTCGCACATGCACACTAATGCAGCTGGAGTTCTAACTTTAGCAGCAATTCTTTTCTACAGCATGCTGCAGATGAAAGGATTCGGTTGGAGGAGTTGCGTCAGAAGGTATTAGTATCGTCCCTGTTTAAACTGTTGAAAATGATATTTCTATTTTGGCTTACATGACTAGCTGACTACGTAGGTGCTATGTGGAGAAGGAGAAGCAAAGGCGATTACTTTTCTGGATGTTGAACAAGAGTTGGTATGTAGTGTATCTGATGCTAAATGAAATTTTAATGGTTGCATTCCTTGACTCTTTGGTCTTATAACATAATTCAGGTGCTGCCAGAGATTGGCTACCAGTTACTGCATAACTATGCAAAACCAGTTCAAGAGTGGGGTTGGCTCTGCAACACACATACTGAAGGTTCAGGGTCCTTCAAGAGGTATTTTACGTGACTTACCTGGCATATTTCTTATTTATTGATAATTTATTATTTACAAAAGAATATGATACTGCAACCAGTGTCCAACATTATGAAGTTATGAACATAACACAAAAACTTGGCAGGCTTCTGTATTGCTGATTTGAGTGTCACTAGATAAACTCTGCAAGACTATTGGGGTGCCCCTAAGGATTTGAAATTCTTGTAATTGCAATGTTTAGTTTTCGGTTGCACAATTGAGTTATGAATCAGCGCATAACGTGCATGTCTAGTGTTTGATTTCATGTTATGTATTCATCTATTAAACGTTGTTGCTTCTTTTGCCTCATTTTGGTTTTCATGCTTGGTGTTGCAAAAATATGATAAGTTGGACACCACTTGCATGGTTAATTTTTGAAGCTGTATTGTATTTTCTGAGACATTGTTGTCATGTACCCTGACTTTTGGGATTTAACCATTTGGCAGGAATTTGAATCTCCTTCACAGGCAGCCAACAGCCATCACACTTATTGCGGTAAATAACCCATCACTTCTCATATTTAAGTCTTCCATTCACTCTTTTATGAGCTCAAAACATGTTGAACCAAGATCATTTACCTATCTCTACATTGTTTCGTTTGAAGTGATGACTTGATATGAAGCTGCCGCTCATATGTTCCCGTTATTGATACGATTTTCTTCTATAAACGAGATGCAGGTACCCTGCATCTTAGGCGTCAATTTATCTGACTTGGATCTTATGGAATTTCTTCAGCAGGTAATGTGCCTTTAGTTCTATGACAGTTTTCCCTTCCTCTTTTTCTGACGATGTTCTTTATCGTATTCATTCCCCAACTTTAATTAACTTATGACTGACAGCTTTCTGTTGAATCTTCAGCTTGCTGATACAGATGGATCATCCACAACGCCACCATCAGTTCTTCGAATCCTAAACTCTAAAGCATGCAGAGGTAAATCTGAACCTTCGTGCTCACCCTAGAGGCAAACAAGTCTTGTTCAATAATACGGACCTAAAGATTCTTAAACTTTTTAGGGCAAGAATCTTATTAGGGCCTTTCCTCCACTGAGTATATTGCATACAGAAACTGGAAAGTCAACCTTGCGTTGGTGTAATTATAGTGACAGAATAACCTTGTACTCTTTGACCTCTTAACGCAGTTCTTACTTTTTCAATCATTTCCTTCTCTTGTCAGGTGCAATTATGTTTGGGGATTCCTTGCTTCCTTCCGAGTGTAACCTCATCGTTGAAGAGCTAAAGCAGACTTCTCTATGTTTCCAAGTAAGTGGTCGTTACAGGCTAAGAAAACTTATGGATGTGAATGTGGATTTGTAGTATCGGGGAGAGGCTTCTATGTTGGCTTCCTGAAACACTGAAAAAAAAATTTGTTTTGCAGTGTGCTCATGGTCGACCAACAACTGCCCCGCTTGTCAACTTGGAGGCGTTGCATAAGCAAATAGCTAAGATTGCGTCCTCAAATGATGGTGCGGATCAGTTGTGGCATGGGTTAGGTCGACATGAACTTAGTCTCGCACGTGCGGAAAAACGTTTAAACTTGGCTAGAAGCTAGAGTGATGACGATCCAATTTTGTTCCAGAGTCACAATGCCGGCCCTGCCTATGCGGAATTGACACATTCAAAGCCGTAAATTCATTCTCATTCTTTGTACCTAGTGTATAGCATGCTTCATGCTGATAAAGTACATATGCCATTGCCAGCCCCATTGAAGAAAAACAAGGAACGTGCCTTTTTATGAGCACTTGACTGATCGTGTAACTTGTTTTTCCACATAAAGAATATCATTTCATTTTAGTTTTCTGTTAACCAATCTTGTTTCAGCCAAGATTTATGACGTTTTGTCACAACGGTACAATAGATGAAAATCTGTTGTCATCGAGATATATCTCTTTATGTCTATGTCACTGATCACGTGGGCAGATTTTTGTAAAGCGAATGTTTTGCAGGTAAATACTTAATCATGATAGTGGTTGGGCACCCCGGATTTGTAATCAATACGTGATTAGTCTAATCTTTGGTGGCAAGGCAAGCATATGGTAAACCATGATTACAATCATTTATCTTGCAGAAAACTTAATAGATTTTTATGCAGAAAACTTAATAGTATTTTTATGGTAAATTAAGAGGAAAACTAACGAAAAGTTTTTAAAAACTTTGGCTTTAATCAAAAGGACAAAATACATGTGTAAGTGAATAGTACCAGGAGTGACTTTTCAAGGTTAAAATGTCCTTAATGTTATAAGTGAACAATACCAGGAGTGTTTCGTTAAGATTCCCTAAATTAAGCCCCTGAACTATTTGAAATCAGCCAATTAACTCCTCATCATGAGATTCAATTAAATTTTATATACTTTGCTGTCAAATAGTGGCACGACTTTACCCTCAAAAGTGAATTACGCGTTGGTCACGTGCCGGTATTTGGGGGCAAAGTGAAAAGAAATTTCATCGAATATGACGGCAAGAGGTGAGTTGTCTAATTTCAAATGGTTCAAAGGGTTAATTTACTGTAAAAATAGTTCATAGGGTCACTCCAACTGGATAATAGTTCAAGAAGTCAAATCACTCTTGCCAGAGTTTGAAACTTTGGCTCCAATTATAGCAAGAGTGAAGGAGAAACGAGGGAGGGAGAATCAGAACAGTCACCGGTACACAAATGGTTAACTCGAATACTCGACTACTCATTCGATTGCTATATCGGAATGCTGCCTTACCAAATCAACAGTAAAGAATGAGAACAAACTTTGAATTTACATTGAATTTGGCTACAATTAATCAAATTAGCAGATTGTACAGTGTGACCTGCGTAACTGACTGCAATAGGAATTCCTTTAAATCTTGTATGTATCAAAATCCTCGCCTTTCATCCTCCTCGTCACTTGGTTTGCAACAGAAACTCCATCAATCGGAATGCTAAACAACTACGTGACCTTGAAGAGGATGCATTAGCTCCGCAAATTATTCTATGTTGCTTGAGCAGCAATCAATCATCTCCATCAACCATCTTCCGTACATGCGTTTGAGCTTCCTTTAGTACCAGTGGCAGCACATAAGGCCTTCCAGATGGGCACCAACATTTTCATAGGCGGACGCAATTCCTGGAAAACGAATTCAACTTTCAAAAGCCAAGCTCTTTCATCACATTTATGCCTCCTAATAGCTTGCCAATCGGATGATTCTCCAAGCTTAAGTTGATAAGTAGAAGGAATTATGTACCTTAAAAACTAATACCAATTCTGCTTCCCCGTGTACAATGAAAGACAGGCTCCAGTAACAAGTAACTGGAGTCACACATTCTAGTACCACAGGTTTTAAAATCTTGTCCATAGGAACGAACCGACGAATAATCTTTCCACTACAATGGTAAAAGGGGTAAATTCGCACAGATGATTTAGTCAATAAAGATAATACACATAAAACAAATAGAGAGAGAAGCTACCTCACATAGTGAGTTTCTAGTTGAACTCCAAACGCTGGCATAACCATGATGGACTCTGTCGTCATTAATACACTAAACAAGGTAAGAGCGTGACAAGAAACATTCTTAATGTGAAATAACACGGGAAGTATCAGTTCAGAGGACCAAAAGCCCCATCACTCGGGTCCTCACCTTTCTCAACACTCTTCTGAAGCAATTTTACAAGGAACGCATCTAAAAGGAGACTCCATAAAACAATGATGACTGATTTCTCCTGTTAATTGTAAGATCATTGTGTCAAAGTTGTTGAGGTATGATGGAATTTCAGATACCCAATACGTTCTTATAAAACGGGCATATAATCCACTGAAATTTCTTTCAAGAACAAGGTTTTCAAACAAACCAAACAAAATCCTGCAACAGAAAATGGCAACTGAAAGTCTCTCGCCAGACTAAATTCAAGTTCATAAGTTCTTAAACTGGACCTCGAGAATAAAGATATAAACAGAAGTACAAAGTAAAATGATTTATACGAGATATATGAAATTAAGCGGATATAAGGCATACCTTAACAAAGAAAACGTAGAAGGCGGTAGCTAGAATAACAACAGCAAACAAGTATACGAAGAGACCCTTCGCACCACTCTTTCTTACAATGATGTGGTGCACATCAACTGCTTCACAAGGCCGCTTACAGTCATGTAAATACGTATATCTCGAATTAGTTATAGATGAACCCACCATTATGAACCCACCATTCCCCCCAAACTAGTTCTTCATATAATCGTCCCTTTATACTGTCATCTGCATATCCACAAAAGAACCAATTCTTAACATTGCTATGATTGAACTCAAAACATAAAGAAAACTTGGTCAGGATAATTGTGTCATTCAGTAAAGCTACTCTAATCTACGGGGACGGCGTGCAATGGAGCGGGCACACTACCTTGTCCAACTGGCCTAACCCGCAACTGCAACATTCAGTGAAAATGGTTTGTTTATGTTACTACACTGTAAAGCTCCCACCTTTATAACAATGGTTTAGCTACATTTGTGAAATCGAACAATCTGAAATGAATTTTCAGCTGATACAATGCTGGATTTTTGCCCAAAAATTCCATGAAACAATTAAAAACATAAATGGTAAACCTTACTTTCATAAATCGATAAGAATAAAGCCTTGGCGATTTCTGTAGATTAGGCACTGCATTGGCATTGGCCAACACAATGCCAAATCCATGGAAATTAGGGTTTGAAGTTTGCATTGAATGGGGAAATTCTAATGTGACCCGAATCAACTTACTCGAGACGAAGTCCTCTTTCAACCTCAATGGCGATCGGAGCCCAGGCCCTGAAGCCTCTCAAATCCTGCTCCTCCCGCCCTTTTCTGCAAGCCCTAATTGTAAAATCATGGAAGACGACTACGACTGTGATACGCAGGTTCGATCAGAAGAGTGAGTCTGCTGAAAACCCAAATTTCGAAACCTGTTGGAGCTGGTGGAGTTGTAGTGCAGAGAATAAATTACTGTTCACGTAATTAAACAAATTACTTTAATGGTAAAATTAATTTAACCAAAGAATAGTAGATTTATTAAAGAATACCGCTATTCACATACTTATTTTTACCTTTCACGCACTCTTGTTAATTGTTTGTTATTGATCATTTTCAATTAATTTGATTTGACGGTAAAAAATTAAAAAGAATGAGTAAAAAGTAAAAATAGATATGTAGATAGTACAATCCTTACTAAATGGAGTCGTTTTGATACTTAAGCTTTTGGGCACGCATCATAACCGTTCATGCATTGTGAATTATACATGCATCAATGATTAAAATCTCACGCATAAGCATCTTACTGTAGAACAATTTTATTAACTAGTTAGTGTCTATAGTAATTTTCTTTTAACAGTTGGTCATTAATTGAATTTTACTTATTCCAAAGTTAAACTCAAATCCCCAACTTTTTTTTTGTCAACAAATCCTTAACTTGAATTGCTTGTATCAAGTTAATTATATATATATATATATATATATATATACACACACACACAACCGAAATTCTATACTGCTCTAATTTATGAAGAAAAAAAAAATTAAACTCGAGCGCAAAAAGCGACATTAAGTTGAGTTATTAGTCTTGTGCGAGAGGTGAAGTTAGCTTCCCAACTCAACAAAACAACCCAACTTGTAATCTTTTTTTACTTTTAGCAATTGGTACATTTGGCCGTTTTACAAAAGGTCGATGCTTAAATATTTTTTCCATTATTACATTGGAAGAGATCAAACTCGTAATTACATTGAAAGAGGATTTTGTCTTCAATAGTCTCTAGACTACTAAATAGTGTCATCCATTGAATTGGCAACTAAACAATAATTGTATGTTCTCAATTCAACTATGACCACTCATTTTCTGTGAAAGCCATCGAACATTTGATAGTTTGAGTCTTCGAATAATTCATTACAAATGTTGATGATAGCAACCAGGCGTCCAAAGGCAATTAAACAATTTTGCATTCCAAATCCAACAAATTAATCTCACCTAAACGAGAGATTTTCATTGTGCCGAAAACACGGTCTACGTCTAATACACCAAATATCACAATACAAGTAGTTTGATACTTAAAAAAAAAAAATTCAACCACTTGTATATGACATTTAGTGTACCAATCATATAATCATATCCTTTGACAATTTTATAGTGTTCCCGGTATACTAAAAATTTCTTCACCAGAACAATCATATAATCATATCCTTTGACAATTTTTTCATAATTGCCCCAAGCCCCCCTCATGCTAGTGAATGCAATGATTGTATTGAACCTTCAATTCAATGACCTACTTTTCTTTCTTTAAGACCAAACTTTCATAGGAAAACTAATGGAAATGACTTGAAAACTTTGATTTTTAACAATAAGGACAAAATAAAGGGTAAAATGCATAGTACCATGATTGACTTTTTAGTGTAAAATGTAGATTTTCGTTACAGTGAACAGTACCGGGAGCTTTTCATTAAAATTCCCAACTTTTATCTCATATTTCCCTCCTCCAACTTACCCAAACACTTGAACCTTTCGTTGCAAAAAAAGATTTAATCAAATCATAAATTAAGCACAGAAAAACGCATACGAGTGGTTGGATACTTTTAAAAAAAATTTCAACCACTTGTATATGACACTTAGGGTGCGTTTGGTACGTGGGACGGGACGGGACGGAACGGGACGAGGCGTTCCGTCCCGCGTTTGGTGCGCCAAAAATGGGTGGAACAGGCTGTTCCACGGGACAGATTTTGGGTGTTTTTGCGTTCCACCTCCCCCCCTGGAACGGGTTTGTTCCACGTCTGTGGAACACAATGTTTTACCATTTTAAGACAAATATACTCTATGTCTTTTTCAAAAATTACACCTTCGTTCCGTCCCGTCCCGTCCCGTCTGCATACCAAACGCACCCTTAGGTACCGTTTGG